CACACACACACACACACACACACACACACACACACACACACACACACACACACACACACACACGCAACCATGAAGTCTAAACAGAAGCTACCAGTCAGCGCATTTCAAACCAACAAATGTGTTTTTTTTCTCTCGTTTTTTTTTCTTCCTCTACTTCTGCCGTCTCCTTTTAGTTCTTTCTATGGCTTATTTTGTAAAGCACTGAAGATTTATAAAACCAGGTGAGCTCGACTTGTTGGTGGTCGCCTAACAAACCCGGGGGATTCTGCCTCTCTGTGTTTCAGAGGATCAAAGCCATACAGGAGTCATCAGAAGGACAACAATCATAGCATTAGTTTTGTTTGCACCATTTTTCTCTTTTCCCCTTTAAAGAGGGGGGAAAAATACAAATAAATATACTCTTGGTTATGAACATACAATATACACATCCACGATCAAATGAAAAACGGGGACAACTTATAACACTTTTTTTTCTTTATAGGTACATTCCTTTACAAATGTATACAGTCCCTAAGAATGAGAAACTGAGGTATCGACCGGGCCTGACATAGAGACCCCAATGCCCTCTGGGAAACAAAGGTCAGAGGTCAGGTGATGACACATCCGTGCCCTCCCCAGTTCAGTTTGTCAGCGAGAACAGGCCAGTGTGTGTGTTTGTGTTGTTTTTCTCCTCAGTTTGCCCACAATGACCTGCAGAATCAGGCCGCGGCTACTCTCAAAGACAAAGAGGAGAAGATTGTGTGTTTGTGTGTGTGTGTGTCTTTGTCTCGCTGAGCGCCACAGAGCATGACATGGCATATTTTACATGGTGCGTTTAGCAAGTTGGTGGCTGAAGTCCGAGTTCGCTCGCCGAAGTGATGACCATCCAGGAAACTTCAGCTCTCGTTTTCTCATCTTTTTCTTTCCCTTCCTGTCACGCGGTCACTTTAATCTCCCACCTCCACGTGTTGATGTCATTGTGTGTTTTTGTATCCACAGTGTAGGTATATTAGCAAGGAAATAATACAGAAATAGTGACGTCCGTCTTTGTTTTTAGGATTCCGTGAAGCGAAAAATGACAGAAATTTTTCTAACCTTGAAAATGACAGACGTTAGGTAAGAAATCATGAATCTAAAACCTCCTCCTTCCTTTTTTCTTTCTTCCTGTAACAAATTTCTTTCATCACTTTTAACTGGTTTCTTTTTGTCCTACATGGCAGCTCAGTTCGAGGGAAAAGCTCTGCTAGTTGTAACATTTCTCAGCTGAAAATGAAACGAAAACATTATCTTGACGCTTAGATTTAACTGCTTTTGTGGGCTTTTATTGCTGCCTTTAAAAAAACAAAAGAAAAAAACAAAACAAGCATTTCCTGAAATTTCTCCTAAAATCCTCTCAGGCGGGTCTGATTTGTGGCACAGATTGAGGCGTTTCTAAGCGAAAAACACCGACACCTTATTAGCTTAAAGCGTCACTGCTGCGGCTGATCGCGATCTCTCACCTCTCTTCCTTTTTTAATTCATCTTCCTTTCCGCCCCAGGCACATGTCATGAGCTCAGATTCTTCTAATTTGGTTTTTACATGAATGAGAGATGCACTCAAAGAAATAAGTGACGAAAACTGCTTTTCAAAAAAAAAGCTTCTGATAGTAAAAGAGCACAATGGTTAAATGCTCATTGAAAGGTTAGTGCTGGTAATGTGGATGAGCTTTTTTCATATATATATTTATATATATATATATATAAAAACGATATTAGGCTCCTCAAAATGGATCTGAGGACCTTTCACCTGTACGTCTTGCTACTGTAATCCCTCTTTAATAAAAGAGACATATTTCTTTGATTTGCAAAGTATTTGTAAAAAGGATTCTTGGTCGATTTTTAGTTTAGATGATTTCATTTGGGTCGAACTTGAGAGGAAATGTAAAGTTAACTATGGTCGAAGGGGAACCTCTGAAGTCACCGTGTATATGACCGCAGGGGGGAGGGTGGGGCCCATCATCAGGGGGGAGGTGGTATCTGTACCCCCAGGAGCTCATACGCAAAGATGTTCCAAAAGATGGCGAAGAGAAGGAAGGTGATGAAGGAGAAGACGATGACCCACCAGGAGCACTGTTTCTGCAGACTCTCCTCGTAGCTGCGCAGGATCAGCAGGCCCATGCTGATGCCGACCACAGCCCCCGACAGGTGTGCCATAAAGCTGGGCTGCG